CATTGTATCACAGATGCTATTTAATATGGAGTCCCTCTCTCAGTGTCCTTCATATGGGGCAATTCAGGGTTATCGTCCTCCCTTGTCCTTGGTAAACAGTATGTTTGCAGTAATGTCTTCAATAACATTTTAAATCAGATTAAAATGTCCCTCATGCATTCATATATACATGGCTTTTCAAAATACTGTATGCTTAATAATGTGCATCCCTTGTCCTTGGTTTGCATTGCTGTTGTGTGTTTGCATTTGTTTTGGTTAAAACCGCTGAAAGCCGATTAAAACGTGTCTGTGAGCCGCTTGTTAAACAGCACAAATATCTGTCACGCTCAAACTCTCTCACATCCCTACTGGCAGTTTTGCAGTCTTTTAGCAAAGTGCTAGATGACAGGAAAAAAAGTCCATTGTTTTTGCAGCTGACTCAAAGCTGGAGGAAATGTAAGTTGAATTTCTAGTGAGGGTGTGTGTGTCTGTGGAAAAGCCCAGATTACTTTAACTGCCACATGCAGGGGATCAACTCATGTTTGGTTTCCACAGGGCCGGATATGACAGCGAGACAAGGGGAGACAGTGAGCTAGTGGACGGGTTTACTAAAGCACACATATCTTCTTGTATGGTGAAATGAGCTGTGACTGCTGGAAAAGGAAAGAAAAGAGGAGATGGAGTTCGAGATAACAAAAGAAACAAACTATGTGTGTGTGTCTGTGTGTGTGCTTGTGTATTCGGGTATGGGGGGGCAGGTAGACAAAGATTAAAATGCAGACTAAAGAATTCAGATATGAGGAAAAAAGATTAATGGTGAAAAATCCCCAAGTTCCACCAGTGGCCTCCAAACATAATATGAGCCTATACAGCACATATAATGCAAGCAGTTACCTTCATAAATCAGCATTACATACAGTTTCCAAAAATCTTTGTTTTTCTTAAGCTATTGGCCACTTCTATGCTCTCCACACTGACTTCTGCTTTTCCTTTTTCCACCTGGCAGATACCCAGTGAAATAAAAAGCAATCATATAAAATATGTTTTCAGCGTTACGGTTGGCAACAGTATGTCAGAAGAATTGTATCCACCAGTTTTTTTGCATCACGATAGATAGATAGATAGATAGATAGATAGATAGATAGATAGATAGATAGATAGATAGATAGATAGATAGATAGATAGATAGATAGATAGATAGA